CAGCAGGTCGAGGCTGCGGTGGCCGGGAGCGGCCACTGCACTCCAGTCTGGGTGACAGAGTGAGACTCCAACTCAAAAAAAAAGAAAAAAAAATTCTGAGATGCAGTGGCTCAACCTGTAATCCCAGAGCTTTGGAAGACTGAGATTGGAGGATCCCTTAAGGCCAGCCTGGGCAGGGTAGTGAGACCTTTTCTCTATAATAAGCAAATAAGTCTGAGTGACCCAAGGAAGCACATCTGCCGGGCAGATATCATGTCATGAAGCCCTCTCAGGCCACCAGTTGGACGTCATGGCTTAGGATATCAGAGGGGTCCTAAGCAAACATGCTTCCATCATCCTGGTGCAGGGAGAAGGTTGGGGGGCTGCCCAGGGAGGCCCCAGGGTATTTGGATGGATGCGGGTGTCTGTGATGGGACCCCCACAGAGCGCCTGTCTTCCCACAGCTCCGGGACTGTGGCGGGCTGCGGGAGGTGGAGGTGACCGCGTGCCTGGTGTGGAAGGACTGGCCCCACCGCGTCCACCCCCACAGCCTTGTGGGGAAAGACTGCACCGACGGCGTCTGCAGGGTGCGGCTCCGGCCTCATGTCAGCCCCCGGCACAGGTACCGGCTCCTGACCCCGCCCCTCACCCTTGGTCCCGGAGATTCTGTGGGGCTGAAGGTCGCCCAGGGAAACCTCAGGGCTCAGTCACATCCTCCCCACTGCGTCTCCTAGGTGGCGAAGCTGAGGCTGGGGACTGTGGAGGGGCTCCCTTAGGCCTGGAGCCCCACCACACATACATTCTGTGTATCTCCATTTTTTTTTCTTGTTTTGTTTTGTTTTTTGAGTTGGAGTCTCACTCTGTCGCCCAGACTGGAGTGCAGTGGCCGCTCCCGGCCACCGCAGCCTCGACCTGCCCGGCTCCGGCGATCCTTCCGCCTTCCGAGTAGCCGGAATTACAGGCATGCGCTACCACGCCCGGCTGATTTTTTGATTTACTGTAGAGATGAGGTCTCGCTGCCCAGGCGGATCTCGAACCCGCGGGCTCTGGCAATCCACTCACCTCAGACTCCCAAAGGCGCGGGATTACAGGCTGAGCCACCGAGCCCGGCTTGTGTATCTCCATTTTGTGGAGGATGAGACTGAGGCTCAGAGAGGTTAAGGAGCACAGATAATCGATAGCAGAGCTGGAATTTGCACACGAAACTGCAAAGCCCATTCTTTCTCTCATTTTACAGTGGACATATCCTTAATAAATAAAAGTTTGAAAGGTTCAGAAAGGATGTACGGTGAAAAATAAATTTCCTTTCATCTTTGGTCTTCCAGTGGCCAGTGCTGTTTCCTAGAAACAACTAAAAATATGTTATGCATATATCAGCAAATATGTGTACACACACACACATAGGGGGAGAGAGAGAGAGAACTGTGTGCCAAAAAGTATACACATTTTAAATAATAAAAAATTGGGCTGGGCTCGGTGGCTCAACCTGTAATCCCAGCACTTGGGGATGCCGAGGTGAGTGGATTGCCTGAGTCTGTGGGTTCGAGACCCGCCTGGGTAACTTGACAAGACCTCATCTCTACAATAAATCAAAAGTTAGCCAGACGTGGTAGCACGCGCCTGTAGTTCCAGCTACTTGGAAGACTGAGGCAGAAGGATCGCCGGAGCCCAGCAGGTCGAGGCTGCGGTGGCCGGGAGCAGCCATTGCACTCCAGTCTGGGTGACAGAGTGAGACTCAAACTCAAAAAAAACCCCCCAAAATTGTGTTAAAACTGTAATACTCAGCCGGGTGTGGTTGCTTACGCCTGCAATCCCAGCACTCTGGGAGGCCAAGGTGAGAGAATTACCTGAGCCCACAGGTTCCAGACCAGCCTGGGCAACTAGGCAAGACCTCATCTCTACAATAGATCAAAAAATTAACCTGGTGTGGTGGTGCATGCCTGTAGTTCCAGCTACTTGGAAAGCTGAAGTGGAAGGATTGCCTGAGCCCAGCAGGTCGAGGCTGTGGTGGCCATGAGCATGCCACTGCACTCCAGCCTGAGTGACACAGTGAGACTCCAATTAAAAAAAAAAAACCCAAAACTGTAATACTCAGTATATACCAATAAAAAAAGATGAATACAAGTCACCTTTGACTTCTGCAATGACCAGAGATGCTCAAAGTGGTTACGATTAGTGTCCAGGCACTTCTGATTATGGCAAACCAAAAGTAATCCATAGATAACATTGCTTAAAATGTGTATACTTTTTTTGGCACCCCTGACATTTCATATATATAATTTTCTCTCCTTATAAGTGGTAGTAGGTATGTGCACCTTGTTTTGTTTTTTTTTTTCTTTTTGAGTTGGAGTCTCACTCTGTCGCCCAGACTGGAGTGCAGTGGCCGCTCCCGGCCACCGCAGCCTCGACCTACTGGGCTCCGGCGAGCCTTCTGCCTCAGCCTTCCAAGTAGTCGAAATTACAGGCATGCGCTACCACGCCCGGCTGATTTTTTGATTTATTGTAGAGATGAGGTCTCGCCTGCCCAGGCGGGTCTCCAACCCGCGGGCTCAGGGAATCCACTCACCTCAGCCTCCCAAAGGCGTGGGATTACAGGCTGAGCCACCAAGCCCGGCTTATTTTTAAAATTGTATTTATTGTAGAGCCAAGGTCTTGCCAACTTTCCCAGACTGGTCTCGAACCCCTGGATTCAGGCATTCCTCTCACCTCCATCTCCCAAAGTGCTGGGATTACAGGTGTGAGCCACCATGTCTGGCCTACATTTATAATTTTAGTGATTTAGAAACTTAGTGAAAACGTCAGCTCCATGAAAGCAGGGATTCTGTGTCTTTTGTTTTCTGCTATGTCTTCAGTGCCTAGCACAGAACCTGGCACATAGGAGGTGCTCAGGAGATATTTGTGCAATGAATGAATACCGCCATGTTATGCAACTTACAGTCCCACCGGCTATGGGTGAGAGTGCCTGATTCTCCACAGCCTCACCAGCACAGGGTATTATGAAACATTTTGATTTTTGCTGGTTTGATGAGTGCCCCTCCCCCCAAAGCATCTCATTGGTGTTTAATTTGCAGTTTTCTTGTTATAAATGAGGTTGGCCAGTGTTTTCATGTGATAGAGAGGAGGCAGATTCCCAGGTCTTCTCAAGAATCCCTGATACCCCTGAGAGGTTTAAACACCAGACCCTTCCTACTGCCGGGACCCCTGGGCCTGGGGTCTCTTGGCCTCGAGAGCTCAAGTCTCAGGCGGCATCTGCCGGAGCCCCCCGGCACGCTAGGGCATGCCTGACCCCTCATGAGTCCTCCTCTCCCTCTGCCTCCCCCTGCTCAGTTTTAACAACCTCGGTATCCAGTGCGTGCGGAAGAAAGAGATTGAGGCTGCCATTGAGCGCAAGATTCAACTGGGCATTGACCCCTACAGTGGTGAGTCCCCACGCCAGCCCAATTGTCTCATCCTCCCGAACCCCTTGGCCTCTCTGCCAACCCCAACCCCTCTCCTCTCCAGGCCTCACCCTCTTCTCCAGCCCCACGCCTTCCCCGTTCCCCTGCCCCCCATCAGGATCTCCACCCCCCACCTTCAACCTCCCATATCTCCCCCCCACAGCCGGGTCCCTAAAGAACCACCAGGAAGTGGACATGAATGTCGTGAGGATCTGCTTTCAGGCCTCGTATCAGGACCAGCAGGGACAGATGCGCCGGATGGACCCTGTGCTCTCCGAGCCCGTCTATGACAAGAGTGAGTTGAGGGTGCTGTATCAGTTAGGATTGCCCTTGGTCGCAGGTACCAGAAAGCCCCACTCATGGTGGCAGGAACAAACCGGGAGTTATTTGTTTGTATTTATCGCACTTATTGAGCCTGCTCACATTGATTCCGCTATTTAGAACTATCAGGGCACTGTTTCTGCAGCCCTGTGAGCCTCTTGGTTGTTCCCTCCTGGTCATAAGATGGCTGCCACAGCTCCAAACATCGTGTCAGTCAGTGTTCAAGGCATGGGATGGACAGTGTCACCCTGGGTGGTTGTGCAGTTGTGCACTCCTCATTTCCAGGAGTCAGCATTTACCATGAAGCCTATGAAAATGGGGTCTCCTAGTGTTGGAGAATGCACAGCTTATATAACGATACAGGGCAGCTAAGGGAAGAGGCAGCATGAGTAATGATGTCTCTGTATTTGGGTGTGTGTGTGTGTGTGTGTGTGTGTGTATGAGCCTCACTTTGTCACCCAGGCTGGAGTGCAGTGGCATGCTCATGCCACCACAACTTCAACCTGCTGGGCTCAGGCAATCCTTTCACCTCAGCCTTCCAAGTAACTGGAACTACAGACATGCGCCATCACGCCCAGCTGATTTTTCTTGATTTACTGTAGAGATGAGGGCTCACCAAGTTGCCCAGGCTGGTTTCAAACTTGTAGGCTCAGGTAATCCCATCACCTCAACATCCCACAGTGCTGGGATTATAGGCATGAGCCACCGCTACCAGCCTTTTACTTCTCTTAACCGGCGTTTATGCGTAGAGCCTCAGAGCTGTCTCTCATTGGCCTGGTTTTAGTCATTTGCTATTCCCGGACCAATCAGCTGAGGCGCGCGAGAGAGGCACTGTTCTGAATGGCCAGGTTTGGGCACGTGATCATCGCTGAGCTAGGAAGTGGGCTCAGCCCTACCCAATCCCCGTGACCGAGATGGGTGTGGTCCCTTGAAGGAAAACTGGAGGATATTAACAGAGGAAGGGCCAGGACAGGCAAAACCACAGGTGTCCACTACAAGATTTCAGACTGTCAACCCTTCTTCGAGAACCTCCTCTGACCCCTGTCCCCAACTGCTTTCCCTGAGATCTGAGGATCTCCCTTTTGGACAGACAGGCACCCAACCTCAGCATGGAGGACTGGCGATTGTCCATTAATCCCTCCTGTCTGAGTGTCTTTCCTCCACCGGGACCGTGGGTTCCAGAGGATCGGGATGCCCCGTCTTCTCCGTTCCCCACCTCTCCACGGCCTGGTAAGGGTTTAACGACTGAATTCTTGCTTTTTCTCATCCACCTCTTCCTCTTGTTCCTTCCCAGAGTCCACAAACACGTCAGAGCTGCGGATCTGCCGGATCAACAAGGAGAGCGGGCCGTGCACGGGGGGCGAGGAGCTCTACCTGCTGTGCGACAAGGTGCAGAAAGGTGAGGGGTCGGGGCAGCGGCCGGGCAGAGTGAGGTCAGCAGCTCGAAGGGGTGGCTAGGGAGCCCAGGAGGGGGAGGAGAGGTTTGCTCACCAGGGCAGCAAACGGAAGGATCCAGAACTTGGCTTTGGAGTCAGACAGACACAGATTGATTCCTTCACTCACTGTGTCGCCCACTCATGTATCCTTGTAGGATGGTGCAGGCCTGTCTGCTAGCCAGAGCTGCCTGCTAGGCGGCATAGAGCTCGCTGTCCAGAGACTCTGATATTAATGGTGGAATTGCATAATTAAATGCTTTAGGATGCTTGTGACAGGGGCTATGGATGAGGCAAACAGAGGACAGGTGTCCCTTCTGCAAATCAATTTAAAAACAAACAGGCCAGGCATGGTGGCTCAGCCTGTAATCCCAGCACTTTGGGAGGTGGAGGCAAGAGGATTGCCTTAGCCCCAGGGGTTTGAGACCAGCCTGGGCAACTTGGTGAGACCTTGTCTCTACAATAAATCACAAGAACTAGCTGGGCATGATGGCAAGAGTCTGTAGTTCCAGCTACTTGGAAGGCTGAGGCGGAAGGATTGCCTGAACCCAGCAGGTCGAGGCTGTGGTGGCTGTGAGCGTGCCACTGCACTCCAGCCTGGGTGACAAGAATGAGACTCAAAAACAACAACAAAAAACCTATACCCAGGATTGCCCAGCTGGGGAGAGGGTAAGAGAGAGCCTTGCCTTTTACTGAATATATTTTTTGTATCCTTTGCATTTTCTGTCAAGTGACTATAACATGAATAACACTACTATCAATCATAATAAAGAGCTTTCATTCTCTTGTTCTTACTGTATGTCAGGCTCAGATGTAAGCACTTTGCACACAACACTAGATCATCTCATTGTCTAACAGTTCTGTGAGGCAGATCCTATTATGATCCCCATTTTACAGATGAGGAAACCGAGGTGCAGAAAGGTTAAGTAACTTGCTCAGGGTCACACGGTTGGTTGGGTAGAGACGGGATTTGGATCCAGGAGGTTTGTACTCTTCATTTCTTCTGGGAGAAAGAACAAAAAAGACAGAGAGTTGGGAGAAATATTACAGGAAAGTGGTGAAAAAGTAGTATTTGTTTTCAATTATATTTCTTTTTTTTTTTTTATTGTAGAGATGAGGTCTCGCTTGCCCAGGCGGGTCTTGAACCCGCGGGCTCAGGCAATCCACTCACCTCAGCCTCCCAAAGGCGCGGGATTACAGGTTGAGCCACCGAGCCCGGCTTTTCTTTTTTTTCAATCTTTTTATTTTTTTTATAGAGATGAGGTCTTGTTAGGTTGTCCAGGCTGATCTCGAGCTCCTGGCCTCAAGTGATCCTCTCTTCTTGGCTTCCCAAAGTGCTAGGATTATAGGCATTTGTTTTCAATTCTTTTTTTTTTTTTTGAGTTGGAGTCTTACTCTGTCACCCACACTGAAGTTTCAGTGGCCGCTTCCAGCCACTGCAGCCTTGACCTGCTGAACTCTGGCGATCCTTCCGCCTCAGCCTTCCAAGTAGCTGGAACTACAGGTGCGTACTACCACACCTGGCTAATTTATTTTTTTTGATTTATTGTAGAGATGAGATCTCGCCAAGTTGCCCAGGCGGGTCTCGAACCTGCGGGCTCAGGCAATCCACTCACCTCAGCCTCCCAAAGCTCTGGGATTACAGGCTGAGCCACAGAGCCCAGCTTGTTTTCTTTTTTTTTTGTTTTGAGTTGGAGTCTCACTCTGTCACCCAGACTGGAGTGCAGTGGCCGCTCCCGGCCACCACAGCCTAGACCTGCTGGGCTCCGGGGATCCTTCCGCCTCAGCCTTCCAAGTAGCTGGAACTACAGGTGCGTGCTACCATGCCCAGCTAATTTTTTGATTCTTGTAGAGATGAGGTCTCGCCAAGTTGCCCAGGTGGGTCTCGAACCCGCGGGCTCAGGCAATTCACTCACCTCAGCCTCCCAAAGCACGGGATTACAGGCTGAGCCACTGAGCCTGGCTTGTTTTCAATTCTTATGTACTTTTTTCTCAAATGAGGAAAAGAGGCAAATTTGGAAAACCATCTGGAAAAAAGCAACTTCCCAGAGTTGTGTGTGATTGTGATAATAATAATAGTAATAGTAATAGCAGGTGACACTCTCGGGACCCTCACTCTTACCAAGTTTTTCATGGCCTAATTTGTTGAATCCCTATGCCCAGTCTTTCTCTTTATTTTTTATTTATTTCCTTTTTTACCCTTCTGCCTTGCAGCTTCAACTCCAAGGACATAGACCTAGTCTTAATGTAGAAAAGCTCTCAAATTTTTTTTTGAGTTGGAGTCTCACTCCATCACCCAGGTTGGAGGGCAGCGGCATGCTCCTGACCACTGCAACCTCCACCTACTGGGCTCAGGTGATCCTTCTGCCTCTGCCTTCCAGGTAGCTGGAACTACAGGTGTGTGCCACCATGCCCGGCTAATTTTTTGATTTATTGTAGAGATGGAGGTCTCACCAAGTTGCCCAGGCAGGTCTCGAACCCGCGGGCTCAGGCAATTCACTCACCTCAGCCTCCCAAAGCACGGGATTACCGACTGAGCCACCAAGCCCGGCTGAAGATAGGGTCTTACTGTGTTGCCCAGGCTGGTCTCAAACTCCTGGCCTCAAGTGTTCCTCCCACCTCCGCCTCTCAAAGTGCTGGGATCACAGGCGTGAGCCACTGCACTCAGCCTGGCTATAGTCTCTATCACCCTTTCCTACTGACTAACATTGAAGGTTCCAGTTCTTGGTTCTCACAAGGCTGCAGTGGATACCATGTATCTCCCTCTTTCCATCCAGCTGCAGGCATATATACATCATGAATTCCTAGAAGGGAGAGGCCTAAGAGTAATGATGATGATAATAGTCTGGACATGGTGGCTCACACCTTAATCCCAGCACTTTGGGAGGCCAAGGAGGATCACTTGAGCCAGGAGTTCAAGACCAGCCTGGGCAATGTAGTGAGACCTTATCTCTACAAAAAAATTTTAAAAAAATTAGCCAGGCATGGTGGCATGTGCCAGTAGTCCCAGCTGCTTGGGAGGCTGAGGTGAAAGGATCTCCCAGCAGGTTGAGACTGCAGTAGCTGTGATTGTGCCACTGCATTCCAGCCTGAGTGACTCAAAACAACAACAAAAAAGCAAGCAAGCAACAACAATAAAAACCAAATTGACCCTTGGCTGGGAAATTGGATGTTGGGAGGGTTTCCACTACTTCCTAACTGACAAGAGTGGCTCACCATGCCTCAACTTTTTGCCCAGTTTGGTTTGTGGGCCAGGCACGGTGGCTCATGCCTGTAATCCCAGCATTTTGGGAGCCAGAGGTGAGAGGATTGCCTGAGTCCAGGGGTTTGAGACCAGCCTGGGCAACTTGTGAGACTTCATCCCTACGATAAATCAAAAAATTAACTGGGTATGGTGACGGGTGCCTGTAGTTCCAGCTACTTGGGAAGCTGAGGTGGAAGGATTGCCTGAGCACAGCAGGTTGAGGCTGCAGTAACCGTGAGTGTGCCACTGTGCTCCAGTCTAGGTGACAGAGTGAGACTCCCATACAAAACAACCCAATGTGGTTTGTGGTAAACACCTGCTTTTCTTCTGGGAATCTGGAATTTTGGCATGTACCAGGCAGAAGGTGCCTATGTGACCAGCTCCTAGTAAAAACCCTGGGTGCTGATTCTCTGATGAACCTCTTTGGTAGACAACATCTCACAAGTGTTGACACAGTTAATCACTGGGGGAATTAGGTATGGCCTGTGTAACTCAGTTGGAAGAGGACTCTTGGAAGCTCACTCCTGGTTTCCCTCTGGGCATTCCCTGGCACCTTCTTCCCCTGCTGATTGTGCTTGGCATCTTTTTTTTTTTTTGAGTTGGAGTCTCACTCTGTCACCCAGACTGGAGTGCAGTGGTGGCTCCTGGCCACCCCGCAGCCTCGACCTGCTGGGCTCCAGCGATCCTTCCGCCTCAGCCTTCCAAGTAGCTGGAACTACAGGCATGTGCTACCACACCCGGCTAAGTTATTGATTTATTGTAGAGATGAGGTCTCGCCAAGTTGCCCAGGTGGGTCTCGAACTTGTGGGCTCAGGCAATTCACTCACCTCAGCCTTCCAAAGCGCGGATTACAGGCTGAGCCACTTAGTGACTGGTACACAGTAGGTGCTCAATAGAAAGTTACCTGCCACTATGATTAGTTTTTCTTTTTTTTGAGTTGGAGTCTCACTCTGTCACCCAGACTGGAGTGCAGTGGCCGCTCCCGGCCACCGCAGCCTCGACCTGCTGGGTGCCGGCGATCCCTCCACTTCAGCCTTCCAAGTAGCTGGAACTACAGGCGTGCGCTACCACGCCCAGCTAATTTTTTATTTTATTGTAGAGATGAGGTCTCACCAAGTTGCCTAGGCAGGTCTTGAACCCGTGGGCTCAGGCAATCCACTCTCCTCAGCCTCCCAAAGTGCTGGGATTACAGGCTGAGCCACTGAGCCCGGCTTATGATTAGTTTTTTTTTTTTTGAGTTGAAGTCTTACTCTGTCGCCCAGACTGGAGTGCAGTGGCACGTTCCTGGCCACCGCAGCCTCCATCTGCTGGGTTCCGGCGATCCTTCCACCTCAGCCTTCCAAGTAGCCGGAACTACAGGCGCGTGCTACCATGCCCAGCTAATTTTTGATTTATTGTAGAAACGAGGTCTCGCCAAATTGGCCGGGTGGGTCTCAAACCCACGGGCTCAGACAATCCTCTCACCTCGGCCTCCCAAAGTGCTGGGATTACAGGCTGAGTCACTGAGCCTGGCCTATGATTAGTTTTATTATTAGGAATTAAACATTTTTTTTAACTTTTTAAAAAAAATTTTTGAGTCAGGGTCTCCCTCTGTTACCCAGGCTGGAGTGCAGTGGCACAGTCATGACTCACTGCAGCCTCAATCCCCTGGGCTCAGGTGAGCCTTACCCCTAAGCCTCCTGAGTAGCTGGGACTACAGTCATGTGCCACCACACCTGACTAATTTTTGATTTGTTGTAGAGACAAGGTCTTGCTATGTTGCCCAGGCTGATCTCAAACTCCTGGGCTCAAAAAATCCTCCTGCCTTGCCTCTCAGTGTGCTGGGATTACAGGTCTGGGCCGCCACACCTGGCTAGGGATATTAATAACTGATGTAAGCCGGGCTCAGTGGCTCAGCCTGTAATCTGGCGCCTTTGGGAGGCTGAGGTGAGTGGATTGCCTGAGCCCGCGGGTTCGAGACCCGCCTGGGCAGGTGAGACCTCATCTCTACAATAAATAAAAAAATCAGCCGGGCGTAGTAGTGCGCACCTGTAGTTCAGGCTACTCGGAAGGCTGAGGCTGAAGGATCGCTGGAGCCCAGCGGGTCGAGGCTGCGGTGGCCAGGAGCGGCCACTGCACTCCAGTCTGGGCAACTGAGTGAGACTCCAACTCAAAAAAAACCTGATGTTGGGGGAGGCTGATTGAGTGGGAGACCTTGTGGGCCAGATGTCCTGGCTCAGCTGACACCCTCACTTTCCCACCAGAGGACATATCAGTGGTGTTCAGCACGGCCTCCTGGGAAGGTCGGGCCGACTTCTCCCAGGCCGACGTGCACCGCCAGATTGCCATCGTGTTCAAGACGCCACCCTACGAGGACCTGGAGATTGTTGAGCCCGTGACAGTTAACGTCTTCCTGCAGAGGCTCACTGACGGGGTCTGCAGCGAGCCACTGCCCTTCACGTACCTGCCTCGGGACCATGGTAACCACAGCAACTCGGGGTGACCCACCGCCCAGGGCCAGGAATTAAAAAAATTTTTAATTCCTAATAATAAAACTAATCATAACCCAGAGGGGAAGGGGAAGAGGCAGAAGCAGAATGCAGGCTCAGAGCCACGTAGACAGCGTTCGAATCCAGGCTCTGCTGCTTCTTGGTCATGTGACCTTGGTCCCTTTGAACCTCAGTCTCCTCCTGTGCAAAATGGAAATAATAGTACCCATCTCAGCCGGGCTCGGTGGCTCAGCCTGTAATCCCGCGCCTTTGGGAGGCTGAGGTGAGTGGATTGCCTGAGCCTGCGGGTTTGAGACCTGCCTGGGCAACTTGGCAAGACCATCTCTACAATAAATCAAAAATTAGCCAGGTGTGGTAGTGCGCGCCTGTAGTTCCAGCTACTTGGAAGGCTGAGGCGGAAGGTCT